AAATCCTCGGTCAGCGTTTGTCCGATCTGTTTGCTTGCATTTCGGAAAAGGACACTGTCCTAGATAACTGGAGAGAGTCGGTGATAGTGGCCATTTTCAAAAAGGGCTCATAATGGGTGTGGTAACCACAGGGGGATCAGCTTGACCCCGGCTGTAAGAAAACTGTTGATGTCACTTGTCTTCGTCACCTTATGGTCGCTCGTGAAACAGACTCAAGAGCAGCAAGCGAGGTTCCGGCCTGGTAGTTGACCAGCTCTTCTTCCTCCGTCAAATGCTAGAACAACGCCATACTTACAAACGACCCACAATTTTAGTATTCCTGGATTTCTGAGACGCCTTCGACTCAGTTGACCGGTTTGTCCTCCTTAACACGCTTGACGGTCAAAGAATACCCCGAAATTTTGTGAACATGGTACGTTCTTTCTATTCTCGGACTTCCGGTTGTGTGAGAATGTACAAAGCGCTCTCCGAAAGCGTCCTCACACAAAGCGGTGTCCGTCAGGGTTGTCCACTCTCTCCATTCTCAATTAATTTCGTGATCGGTGAGATAACGAGAGGAATGAAGTTCTTCAAAACTCCGGTGTTCAAATAGCCTCTGATGAAAACCTTTTTGTTCTGGAGGGCGAGACGGCTCAGTGGTTAGAGCACGAATTTACTGACCGGAAGTTCCGTTGTTCGAACCCGACTTCTAACTCTCGACTTCCCCTGTCTAGGCCTGGGCGACCTGGCTTCCTCGTGCTTCCTTCTGGTGGCATGGCAGCTAGGCGCCAGAAGGGTGCCACAGCTAAACGACTTTTTATGTTGATCTGGAATATGCAGGCGATATGGTTCTCGTCTTCGAAGAGAAGGCGTAGGTGTTTTTGGATGAACTGAACAAGCCATCCCGTCCTTTGGTATGCACTTCGCATCCAAAGTTTAAGGAGGTGTACGCCACTAACAATCCAATGAGGCAGTCGAAACTGTTTTTCGTAGTTTGGAAGTTGTATTAGTTTTGACTGTAGCGTGACGGGTGCGGTCAATGCACGAATCTGCAAAGCTCGGGTTGCGTTTGCTAGTTTGAGACACCTATAGCGTCAAAGCGGTATACATCTGAATCCCAAGGACGTGTGTATCAGGCTACAGTGTGGGTTGTTTTGTTGCATGGTTGAGTCTTCAGGTGTTCGACAATCGTTGTCTTAGGACCATAGCTCCTGTAGGTTTGTGTCGGCGAATTTGTAACGAGGCAATTGGAAAGCGAGTTCTCGGTTGTGCAACGGGAACTTCTATTGAAGAATGTGTCCAGCACCAGAAGCTGCGTTAGTTAGACAATGCATCGCATGTGTCTAACCATCGTTTGCCCGGCGGTGTCCTTCACGCCCAATTCAGAATGGCTAAAGCAGAGAGGTGGCCAATCCTTGACCCGGAAGAGGGGTATGAAAGAGATTACGAAACGTTTAGGTGTTGTTTGTGCTAGTCCTTCATGTTCGATAACGCTTGATCCCTATTCCGCCTGGTTGGAGATGCTGCAAGATACGGCTGATAGTCGATGGTGTTCGTGTTGTTAGTTTCTATCCAGATTGCCTGGATGAGTGTCTGGAGGCTTATGCACCTCGGAATGATTGCAGTAAGGTAGCACTAAGCCCCTTCCCTGTCCACCTTTATTCTTTTCTTCACACTAAGGCTTTCAAATAAATCACGATTGTGCAGCAGCGAGGATGATGATTTCTTTTAGCGCCGGTAGCTAAGTGTAGCGAGACTCGCCGATACTCCATCCTGATAAGTGGGCCACGCCAACAGAACTCAAACTCAAAAGTGTCCCTTTTATGCTAAACCATACCTACCTATATGTTTGCATCGGTGTTTCACAACATAGCACCTAGCACCGACATAGCACCCTCACACGACCGTGTTAGTGGAGTAGCGATGTTTAGGACTCGCCATCGAGAAACTTGTAATTGGAGACATTGATGCACTTCCGTAACTGGGTTACGGTGACCACGTTTTCCGTGTGTTTAATTATGCGTGTCAGTCGAAAGACTCGAAAATAAAGAAATCGTTCAGCTGTAGTACCCTTTCGGTGCCTAACTGCCATGCCACCCGAAGGTTGCACGAGGGCTGGGATACTGCCAGGTCGCCCAACCCTAGGCAGGGGAAGTTGAGAGGCAGAGTTTGGGTTTGAACCACGGAACTACCGGTTGGTAAATTCGTGCTTTAACCACTTGAGCTATCTCGCCCAATCCAAAGACTCATCAGCTATTCGAACAGTTACGCATTAAGGTAGCCTCCAAAATTACATAAATTCAAAACGATGGACAATGTTTGATAGTTCTACGCCAAATGGGGTCTGTTGGTTGATAGAAGTTGATGGAAGCCTAGTCGGATACCTGACCGAAGACTTCCAGGAAATCCAATGGGTTTCTCCGAATCAGGATGCCCAAATGACTACACCAACGAAATCATGTTTGTTACCATTATATGACTAACCCGAGTTAATCTTGTGGGTGGACGACACTATCCGTCAAAATTGCTTCATAGACTTTAGATGAAACTTGAAGCTCGACATAGCTCAGCAGTCAAGACGCGAGCCTACTGACCGGAGGGCATCGTTCAGCCGTAACACCCTTCCGGTGCCTAGCTGCCATGCCACCCGGAGGAGGCATGAGGGCTGGGATACTGCCAGGTCGCC